CAAGGGCCGAGAGCGTCGGGAAATATTTGGCGAAAGTGTGACGCGAAAGGACTTTTGGCGCGAGAGAAAGAGGAAGCCGTTCGCAATGCGAATCGATAGACTCTATTTCGTCGGTCGCCGTTGAATCGCGTGCGTGTATTAAATATCTATCCGTAGAGCGGCCGACGGACACTTTTCTTCGACCGTTATGATTCAACTCGGAACGCTCGAGAAAATTAAGGATCGATCCGCGATAAAAATTCTGTGGATATTGTCCGTTGAAAGGGTAGCACAAATGTATAGCGCCGTTTAAAAATAAAACTGTGGAGCCGATAAAATGTCGAAGTTCAACAAGGCCTCTTTGTACTCTTGTGTGTGTGTAGAAAAATCCTCCGATTGGGCTTTACGCGAAATTCTATGTACATACATGTGTGTGTGTGTGTGTGTGTGTGTGTGCGCGCGCGCGTGCGCGCACGTGTATAATTTTGTCACGGTATTGTATAAAATATCTAAAATCCTGGTCGCGATGAAAGAGAAAAGAACTTTGGAATATCCCGTGCTTGAATATTTCGAATCGAGCTATTATCCGCGCCGCGTTCTCGATTCGCTCGCTCTGTTGGTAGGGGAGAAATGAAAATCCGCTTTTCAACCGCCTCTCCAACAGGGAACAGGAATTTCATTCCTTACGCACGAAGATGAGACGGGGGACCGGCCGCGACGCGAGCTTCGCAAATCCATCGATTCGATCAAACTTGGCAAGTTGTTCCTTGCGTGCCTTTAATTCGCTAACCCGCGCGACCAACCGTACCGCAAAAGTCTCGATACTCTGTATAGAGATACGTGTGACTATGTGTCTTTGGAATAATTAAAAGTACAAAAAGAGATATATACATACACGTATATACATAATCTAACACCGACTGATTAAGAGGTAAAACACACACGTGTGTTACAGACACGTTACACGTGTAATCGTTGCTACGAATGCAAGATGCTTAGCTACTAGTTAATCTAAAGGGCGGGGGGGGGCATACCAGGGACGCCGTCTCAGTTTGTTGATATTACATATGTGCATATATATATATATATATATATACACATGTATATATAGACGCATATGTCATACACAACGTGACGTATCATCTGTCGAACATCTAGAGTGTGGGGCGAGCCCGCGCGTGTTGACGCTCGTCGAGCAAATAATAGCGAGAGACATGTACGTATATATAGAAATATATATGTATAATGTCCATGTAATGATCCGTATTCGTGCTTGCCTCTCAAAACGGACAGCCTATTCCATTTTTTTACTTTGAACAATTCAACCGACCAATACTAAGTGCAACTGAGAGAACGTTACTTACGTTATTATTAATTTTAAGATTTATATACATACATCTTTTACAATCACTGTAATTATCTCTGTGAAATGTCTCGTGTTGATATTATACACGTTTCGTAAGGCCAAACCAATGCGAAAAAGTAATTTCTTCGTTGATATTTGCGCTTTTAATATATTGTACGTATTATCTCAATCCGCTCATCAACTCCATTACATGATTTATCCACTTTATAGCGATACAACTGGTTCCAATTGCAGCTTTAAAATAATCAATAGTAATTTACGGTCTTGATATATTCTCGGCACGAATAGTTAATTTAGATATGCCCTCTTAATGACAGCAACTTTATACTCTGTAGATGTCTCAAATATCAAGAGCTCAGCACGAATAAGGGTGAAAAAGCAAAATTTGCTCTATATTTAGGGCTGCGCCCACCCACAATCTGTCGACCAATAATTTCCAAACTGCGAGCGCTCGAAAAGAGCAGCGCGCTTTCAAGGAAAAGCGATAAATTATGCCAATCTCTCTGGGAATATCTTTACCAGCGTTATTCCGAGGAAAAACTGAAATAATTTGCATTTCTATCGTTCTTATTCAAACGGACTTTTCATGTACATAATTCATCAGCGAGCTGAACGAAAAGTCGAACTTTGAAACTACAGATGATTAAAATACTCGTGAAATACTTGGTTTGTCTAAAAGTTCGAAAAAAGACACGAGGAATCTAAAAATCCGCAGGTAAGAAGATGTTTGGAAATCATTGGCCCGGATAAGAGGAAATAGTCAACATTAAGAAAACGTACAGTCATTCGTATGGGGGTTTTTCGCTAGTGGACCGAAACAGTTGAGCTTTCGTTTCGATCCCTCCAAGATCTTCGCGGCTGCACGTCCTTCTTTTCAAATCGGCGTTTCGATCACTCGCGATATCCGCGACAAATTTAATTTTCGGAACTCGCGCGCGCGCGTTTCGCGCAAGATAACAAAATAACGTAATCTAGAATAAAGCACTCGTATAACAAATGCGTGTGTTGCGCCTCGCTCGCTGTCTGGATTGACCGATTCCGATCGATTATAATGTTCCTACTGTACGGTAGTAGCGAAAGAAAAAGAACGAATCGATAAAGGAAAGTTGATCGACATTGCTACGGTCCGTTTCTAGGACCGAAAAGATCGGATCG